ATCTCGTCTAGATTAGCTACATTTCAGTCCGACCACACAGTGTGACACCTGGCTGTTGCAAGGACAAATTGGAAGTCTGAGCTCCTGTTTAAATTAAGAATCGTCACAATTGTGTTTTTGCTGTTTGGAGAACATTTGGTGTCATGTTATGTCTTGTTTCCCCGTGTGACTTTTTGTGTTTTCCTTGATAAGTTTGGTTTACCGCCGTTTTGATCATCCTGGCTCTTTGTGTTACCTAAACACCTCCATCCTAGCCTATGTGTTTTGTCCAGATGTTCCTTTTTGTCTCGTCTATTTGCTTGTGTTCCGTTCCCTGTTTCCTTTTAGTCTTTGTCGGATCATTGCTTTTGTTGGTAGTTTCCGTTGATGTCACGTCTCCATGCGCTAGCTAGTTTTGTGTGATTGTTTTGGAATTTTATTAATTTGCTATTTTTGAATCCACATGCATTTCTGTTTCATTTTTGGAAAATAAACATTTTGTTTTGAGTTCATCCTGCCTTGCCCCCCCCCCCCGACCCCCTGCATTTGTGTCCGACTTTTTGCCAACATCGCAACAACCAGCCACCTCTGACAAGAACTGTCATAGATTTCAATTGTCTCCATAAAATTCCTGTTTTGAAGGCTTGACAGACCTTAACATAAACATTAATTGTTGCTGCAGTTAACCTACATTAGCATGCTTATGTCCTAAAAGCAATATTTCCCAAACTTTATTTAGCCAAGGCACCTATTTTACATGGAAAAAAAAAATCCAGGCGCTCTCTGCTATGTACCATTATAATTATCAAGTATCAAGTACAACTCTATTGTCAAATGTGCTGTATGTGTAACATGCAGCACAGATGAAATTTTTACAAATAAAAATTAAATAAAATTACCAACTTTAATTTAAAGCAATGCAGTTGGCAGAACAGTTCATTAAACGTAAAAATAAAATAAACTACTAAAATCATTCATTCATTCATTCATTTTCCGAGCCGCTTTATCCTCACAAGGGTTGCGGGGGGTGGTGGAGCCAATCCCAGCCGTCTTCGGGCAGTAGGCGGAGGACACCCTGAACCAGTTTCCAGCCAATCGCAGGGCACATAGAGATGAACATTCATCCACACTCGCACTCACACCTAGGGACAATTGCGAGTGTTCAATCAGCCTGCTTTCATCCACATTCGCACTCACACCTAGGGACAATTGAGAGTGTTCAATCAGCCTGCCATGCATGTTTTTGGAATGTGGGTGTCATGTAGTGAAGAACCCCAAAAAGCAGGCAGGAGGGAGGAGCAAGGTGAACTTGGCAAATTGTATGAACAAAATGCTGAGAAAACTAAATCCAGAACAAACAAATTCCTGGAAACAACAAGAATCCAAAGTAACAAACAAAATCCTGGAAACAACAAGTATCCAAAGTAACAAACAAAAACCGATGGCAGAAGCAAAACACTAACAGAAACAGAGTCAGCAACAGAAACAGCGACAGCAACAATGACCCGACACTCAGTGGTCAGGCATCAAGTCTTTTAAAGTGACAACTAACGACACAATGACCAACAGGTGTGCAGCTGTAGGCAGAGCCCTACAGTGCCACCTGTTGGTCACAAACAGAACCATGTCAGTGGGAGGAAACCGGAGTACCTGGAGAGAACCCACACAGGCCTGGGGAGACCGGGCAAACACCACACAGGGAGGCCGGAGATGGAATCGAACCCTGCACCTCTGCACTGTGAGGATGACGCGCTAACCACTGGACTACTAAAATAATGATATGATGAAAATGTATTGATCATAAAAATTAAATTGTACCGAAATAAAGTTGAAAAACTCTCACCACACTTTCAGTCAGTAATAATTGTGGATCCGTCTGTGCACCAACTTTTGGTTAGTGTAAGGATGGAGTCGAATGAGTTGACCAGTGTCATGGAAGGGATTGTTGTTGACATGCTTGCCATTTAACCACTGCATGTACAGTACAATGGCTGTTTTTATCACAGTGTCCGAATAGTGCATCTACTTTATTCCATTAGCAGTGAAGCAAAAACTAAATCCTCACTGACACCATAGTAAAACATGGGTTATGTGTAATGGTTCACAGAGCTGACTGTCATACAGCTTCTGCTCTTTGCTCTGTGATGAACTGGCGACCAGTCCAGGGTGTAGTCCACATACTGTATGGCCATGACCGTGATCCTGAGCTGAAAATACAGCATCAGAAATTAATGGACAATAGTCACAGTAAAATGCACATATTAAAATGAGACACTTGTAACATTGAGTAGCGTGTCTTTGTTGTTTGCGGTAAGTATAACTTGTGCTTGAATACTCATGATTATTCCTTATTCTCATCCCTATTCGCGGCAGTCCACGGAATCCTGTAATCCTGAATTCTTTGCAGTTTATGTACAGAGAACATAATTGACAATGTAAATAATGAGTTGGACAGATACTCAGAAGTGGGTTTGTTGACATAATGATCAGTTATGTTATTCCACTCATTTCCTGGACATTAGGCAGATGCCCGAGTTAGGCACGTAGGGGCCGGCAAACCGATACACACAAAAACATACACAATGCATGACACGCTTGAGTTTGCTCAAACAGAGGCTGCCTGTCCCTGTGAGGGATGTCCAAAAGGGGAGGTGTAGGTTTTCCGGGGAACAGGAAGAACGAAACCCAGTGACAGAACAATCTATCTCATGATCTCACAACATTCATATGTGACTCTCAAACAGGGACGTGCTGGGAACAAAATTTAGCTTGTGAATATGCATTGACGGCGGTCGTCACCTGCCCAAAAATAACCGAGGGAGGAGTAGGGTGTTTATATGTATGAGTGTTGCGGCCGTCATGCGTTGAAAAGTTGTCGTCGACGAGCTGTCATGCGCCAAAATTTTTCAATAGATGTAAAAAAATATTGGGAACCTCACCGAATCAGCATTTATTGGCTTAAAATGTCTTAAGTCAGAGAGCGTGGTGTGAAAATAAAACTCAAGTAACTCGCCCCCAGTAGAACATTGATGTCTAGATCAACAATAATTAAAACGTATAAACTGTTGCTTTCTGACTTTTGACTCCTTTCCACTTCACCCAGCTTGGTGTTGTGAATTGAGTAGGAATTTCACACTTGTATCTTTTATCATTTAAGGTAAGAAAAAAAACCCTAATAAAAGTTACAGAAACCATCAATCCTTTTTTAGCTGTTATCGTCATCACAACAGTGGAATGCTCAACTCAGAACTCATGAAGCTCTTAAAATATTCATCAATATTTCGTGTTTTTTTTAATTGAGCCTATCCATAATAATGACTTGATTACATCTGCACGAATCACAGCAATCATCCAGTAACTTTCTCTATTCTGTGGTGTAAGTTGTAACATGTAAAGTTCCTCTCGATTTGAAATTCAAATGCAATCTAAAATAACACACACGACTAGCAGACAACAGCAAAGTCAATTAGTCGACCAAACATCTTGCTGCACACGAATGATCCGAACCTACTGATCATAATGTCCGATCATTCCCTTTTTGCGCATACAGTAAACATTATTGTCACGTTAAATACATGCGGTACACATTTCAAATGACAGAATGTTTCTCTTTGAGAAGCTTACTTTTTAAATACATTCCATTTGACACCCCCCAAAATATTATCGTCTTATGAAAAGTAAAATTTTGAGGCAGTCCCACATGTAAATGGTGTGTTGCATGCAGATGTGATTCAGCTGACACAAGCTTGAGTCTGTCCTGGTGCTTATGCTGTGCGAAGGCGTCCTGTCTGCAGCCCCGCTTTACAGGCCAAGTCAAGTGTTATCACTCAAGGGAGGATTGGTACTTTCCCCAAAGAATGTATAGAAGCGTCCCAAATAGATGAGGTAACAAGTTGTGGTAACCTTCTTTTCAAGAGTTGGACATTCTTAGAAACGCAATAATTTGCACTCTCAAAGTTCTTTCATGAAGAACCTTTCAGGAACTTAATGGTGGGATGACCCAAGGACGAACTCATGAGCTTTTCCAGATAAACATTCAGAAACAGGAATTGCATTTGAAAACTTGAAAGGAGCATTTGCTATTCTCAGTGTAAGATTTACGTAAAAATATACTTCTGTCAGTGACAGCGCACTGTGATCGGGAGATTCCATTTTCAGTATAGGCGTCAGTGATACTGGATGTTGGAAACTTAAATCTTGTTCTTCTCTCACTTGCTCAAAATGTGGCTCAAAATTTTGAGTTGGTTTTTAAAGTGTTTGATTCTCAACTTAACATCAGATAAAAGATTGTCCAACCAGTGGAATATACCTCGTCCATTTTACTAATGTCAACACATTTTGTTGTAATCTTACTGCAAGAGTAATTTTTTCCGTTTTAAAAATGTCAGCAATTTCAATCCGTTCATCTCTCGTAGGTCTTTCTAATTTTAACTACCCCCTTGCAATGGCTTTCCTACTGGTGACACTAAGAATTTTGAAACAGGTACTGTATTTATCATTGGAGGAAAAAATTCCCTGGTAGCAAAGCCCCAAAATATAAGGAAACAAAGTTATGGTAAATGGAATTTGTCTGGGAAGTATTTGTTGCAAAATCTGCTAGACCTCCTGCCAAAAATGTAACAGTACTGAGCATGAATAAAATATGTGAAAATGGTTTGTGACAATTGCCTCACTGCATCCCCACTGGTTCCAACATGCAGATGAGTTAGTATAGCGTCTTTTTCGAGATGGCACTACAATATTCAAAATCTAATAGTACTTTTCCAGCAGAGCTTCCGCCGCAGTACACAAAACTAACAACAACAACAAAAAAAAATACAATATGCTGTCTTACCGTGAGTTACATATTTCTTAAACCTTGCATCCCAAGCTTGAAACTTATTCACAAACATATTCACACTAAAATGATATTTATTTGATATGTTTTCAAGACTCCATGCAACTCTAGTTTTTGTGACGTGATCATACTTGTGCACTGTTTATCCTCACCTCATTTCTAATCGTAGTTTGCCCTTGAACAGAAATCTGAGTAACAACAAGATCACTGTGCTGAGGAACGGATCCTTCTATGGCTTGGCATCTCTGGAAAAACTGTAAGTACTTAAATCAAGCTCGCTTTATTGTTTTGTTCTCCCCTGAGTCCCACTATTGCTGTCATGGTACTGGAGCTGTAGAAAGTGAAAAGGAAGACAGAGTGGGAATTACAAGTCCAACTTGCAAGGGGATTGCCAGTAGTTTTCACCTTATAGCCCGGTTACTTAACCTCAATTGCTACAATAAATGTCTTAAAATAGATAATATAAGGCGGCATATAAAGGTCTAATCTAACGCAGAGTGTGGGAGCTCTGACAGTGTGCAAACCTTGTCAACGAATATGACTTTATGTAATGTCCCAAGAGGATTCACAGTCTCAGGCTGATGATGAGATCTATGGTGACCGGGCTACTACTCATGCCTGCCCCCTGAAGTCAGCAATTGATTGCTTTCACTTGTGCACGGCTCTCCAAGAACGGCCTCTTGACCTGGTTGGATGGTGACACGCGTCGATAACGGGGAAATACAGCAGAATGTATTTTGCTGTACTTTTAAGTTAGTTCGTTTTTTAGTCATAGTACAGGTAGGGTATGTACTGCATGTGCACCTAGTATACATTTTATGAACAAAGGTATCATGAATTTTTTTTTTCCCCATTTAAGATCAATTAAGGATGGGTGGTCCACTTAGTTCCCCCTGAATTATCCATGACTGCCCAACTTAAGCCCGAAAAGACTCGTTGGGCAGCTTTACGCTTCCATTTGGTGTAACAATTTCACAAATGCCTTTTTTTATTCCAGGAATATTGTACCCCAAAGCAATGAACAAGTTGCTAAAGATATGCTTGTATTAGTTTGTTGTGGGAGAACTTCAGCGCCCTCAACTCAAGCCCATCATGAAACATCATATGCCTTCATCAACTACAGCAGAGATTATGAGCCAAACCCGGGGTGTCCAACTCTGGTTCTCAATGGACTCTACCCAGCATGCTTTTCATGGGGGTGTAAGCTGGTCCATCTCAGTAATGGTCGCAAGTAGATACAAACATTTTCACTTTGATACTGTACTTGCATCTGTACCTCGATACCGCCACTTAAACTACACCACAGCAAAAACTTTAATCAACCTTGAGTACAAAGCAGTGAAGTACCGTATTGGCCCGAATATAAGACGGTGTTTTTTTGCATTGAAATAAGACTGAAAAAGTCGGGGTCGTCTTATATTCGGGGTCTAGACATTATACCCATTCACGACGCTAGATGGCGCCAGATATCATTGACGCGAATGCTGAACTTGACTCCCCAGGCCAAAGTGATCTACTGTCACGAAGAATAAAAATAAAAATAGCGGTAGCACGAAGAAGAAAAATAAAAAATAAAAAATAGCGGTAAGAAAGAAAAGAGAAGAAAATAATAGAAAAGATTACAGAAAATGGAGAAACGTAGCGACAATCTGGAGAAAAGTGGGTCGAATATCGGCCAGGTTAACCGGCAGCTGAGGAGAAGTTATGATGTAATTTACATTTCAAAAACCAGAGACCATTCATTTACGAATGTGATTGCACTTTAGTTTACATATTTAAATGTTCAGATATTAAGATTTGAATGAGGCAAAATAACAGGCTTTTTCTCTCAAATATATTGTTATAATCAGTTGTTTCAGATGTACTGTCATTATTTTCTGGATAAAAATTAATTTGGTGTTCAAAAAGTCTTTTTTCAAACTTGAGTCTTGAAAAAGAGGGGGTCGTCTTATAATCAGGGCCGTCTTATATTCGGGGCAATACGGTAATAGCTGACAGCTAAGCAACTTCAAATTTGTTTTATTTGTCAGAATTAAAAAAACTGCTATAAGGACATTAAATAGAATTCTTTTCATTAAAAAAAAAAGACTAAAAAATCATTTTGAACATTTTTATCAACAATTCTTACACATTGCTATTACTCCTATTACTTTTTTTATTATAACCAGGACTTACTTACTTAAGTTCGTTATCAAACTTCGACAGAGCTTGCTGATGAGCTGATCATCTGAATCATGTGTGTTGAGGAGAGACAGTGGCACTCTCGGACGGGACTTGCCTTGCCCTGGCCATAGTTAAGTGATTTCTTCACCTCCATCGTTTTTTGTTTTTTTTTAATATGTCAGGTTTTGTATTTTGTTCGAAAGCCCACATTGTTTAGATAACAGTTGCTACGGATGTTTAGCGCATTGATGGATTTATTCCTGTCTGACTTTAAAATGTCCGACTGCATGTGAATTTGCACCTCGTGTCTCGCTGAATATGAGCGACTTTACTCCCGTTATGATCCTCTGACAGACACACACGTTGGAGGACCTTCATTGAATCTCCCACACTCCCAAGTACTGATATTTGCAAGTGATGGTATTGTTTTTTTTCGTCACCTGAAATTCACGGAACAATACTAGTAGCGGTACTTGGTGAAAATCTAGTCCCAAACATATCAAAATAGAGAAGGTCAGAATAAGGATGAGCATCAATCCATAAAAATAAATACGCCAAAACTTAATCCAAACAATGGCATCACCAAATAAGGAAAAACAGCTGGAAATAAGAAGCATGATGAATACATTTAAGATCTTTGAGACAATGGTTTGTTCTGGGTGACACCATCAGTGGATCGTTCTTTTCTTCATCTCCCTTTCTGGGCACTCTGCTCATGCTTTGCCATGCTGAGCATTTGCACTTGATGCCTGGCCAGGTATGCTCAATGAACAGAAAGTGAGTGCCAACTGTTCCCTGGTCTGGCACATTGGACTCATGTGCTTCACTAGCTGCATGACAGGTTCAGAAGAAATTGGCAGCGGATTGACAGGTTTAATAGTGCACGTGTGTGTGATTGCATCATTCATCCTGTTTCTGTCGGTACATGTTTCTTGGGTTCTTGAATAGCAAACAGGCCTGGTGCGATAACCATGCGGGAAATTGTGATCCTGTTTCAATGAAATGTCAACATGAGTCTTTGAATTACTTTCAGTTGAATTATGTCAAATCACTGAAATGCATTTATCTAAACATAGCTTTATGGATATACAAGAAACAAATTACAAGAATAATAATGTGTTTGGCTTTATTTGATATGTTACAATTATTAGAACACATAATTAAAACAACAAATTTGAGATGATGGTTCATAGTGGAAATTGATGTGGTAAATAGGAAAAGTCATTAAGATTGGACGACTGTCTGTGTCTTATGCGTTGTGTTATTTTGTTATTTTGACTTCAAGATGGCACCGCGAGAGTGACTGCCTTTCCAGCAGCTTTTTTGTTCTTGTACTTCTTCCTTTCATAACTTTGCTGCTGTGAATTGGGAATGTCTCCATTGCGACACTAATAAAGGATTTCTTATCTTATAGATAGTGTAGTAGCCATAATGGGAGCATAGTAGGAGCAATAACGTATCGCACTTTCCGCACTATAAGGCGCTTCTGAGTAGAAGGTGCACATTTAATGAATGGTCTACTTTAAAACTGTTTCCATATGTAGGTCGCACTGTATTAAAAGGCGCATTGAATAGAAGCTACAATTGTGGCTGCAGTTGCATTATACATCCACTACACGGAGCTACGCTAAAGGGAATACAATACAACTTTATATATATAGAGCCTTCACAACCGCTGCAGCTTTAACAAAGCGCTTTACAGAACATTTAAAATAGTACGTCCAAGAAATCAGAATACTGAGCCTTATGTAGCTCCCTCAGGATGTAGCATGAAGCGCGACATGAAGTCCATAAAAGTACAGGGTTTATTTCTTGGCAACCTGTTAGAACTGATCACAAACACTTCGTTTAGTCAATAGTTAATGATGCTTTTGGTATTATTTTCGTTTCATATTGGCTGCGCAGAGCTCACAAAGTAGTTGTTTGAGTGTGTGTTGGCAAATGCACATGTCAATTAGTGTCAGGCAGGACACTTTAACGTTACAATTGGTTGCAGCTAATAATCACCAGTAGATGACATTGGAACACTAACCGGGAAGCAACTCAATTGGGAATATAAAGAGACTGTGTAACACTATGTATAAGGCGCATCGGATTATAAGGCCCACTGTCGGCTGTTGAGAAATTTGAATGCTTTTAGGTGCGCCTCATAGTGTGGAAAATACAGAACTATATGTGTATATGTTACGTGGTGTTTGCTTGCTCGAGTAGTACATGGGGTATCGCCATATTTTTTGTTGGCAAATATTACTTTTGCAGGTATCCATGCTGGTGCACGTGCCATACAGAAATCCATTCAGTGTGCTTTTAACTGTTGAAAGGCTTTGTTTTATTAAATCATTTGAAGCGCATTCATCAGGGCACAGTGTGCCTTTCTTGTCAAGTCAGCATTTTGGCGCAACCCTCTATTATGTAGCCCGTCAAACAGGTCATAATACCTCAACTACTTCAGGACGTGATTAATGAAAAAAACAATTTTACCAATCGACCTTTTTAGAGTTGTACTTTTATGAGAACAGTATATTGTGTGAGCACTGAAATTCTGTCACATGTAGGCCAGTATTTAAAAAGGGGATCACGGTATCATACTCATTCCATTGGCATAGTTCAGTATACCGTACTGTAGTTGGTGTTCACGTTAAAGCTCAACTCACAATTCTTTTATAGCCAGCATAATCATCAGTATTAATAAAGGGTCTCTGTGTATTAGATAATGGGCTGAAGAACTCCCCCAAGCTGCCACCCTCTAATGTGGACCCACGCTGTTACTGACATCGGGTCCCACGGTAGCAAAGCTTGAACAAAGCTTGTCACTGTTCCCTGGTCAGTTAGTTTTGCCATTGGTTCCCACCACACAAACCTAATTGTTTGAATGCCGGTGAAGAATCTCTGTGAACCAGATTGTCTTTCATTTTTACTTTGACTATCTTTCTACTTCATAAATCTATTCAAAATTAAAAGTTTGACTACATGAATGTGTGAGACAATCAGTAACTTTTCTTTTTGTATCATTCATATTTGTACATTAGAGACAACACGTTTTTTTCTTCCTTTTCTTCTCTAAAGTATAATAATAATAATAATCATATATCT